CCGCTTCTCAGGGAGCAGACGGATGGTCCATGTTTCCTCAAGAGAAAACTTCATCCACTCGCGCGGGGCAAGCGAGGAAGGAAGCGGTCCCCCCGGCCCAAGAGGCACTCACCGAGCTCCGCCTCCTCTCGGCTCGCCCAGGGAGCTCCGGACCACCGCCGGGGGACTAGCATCCCCAAAGGGCCGCCTTCGGGTGGCCAACCCGCGCCCCGAGACCTCCAGACTTTGCTCGCACGCACGCACGCGCCCCCTGCCCATGCGACTGCTCCTACGCCGATCACCCGCCGCCCTCCACGCCCAGCTCACCCCCGGCCTGCGCGCGCCCGCCCCCCGCCCCGATCTGTCCATCCGCCCCCTGCGCGCACCCACCTGCGCGCAGCCCACACCGGCGCCGCGGGCCTGCTCACCTGCGCACCCGGCTCCGTGCCAGCTCTGACCCGCGCGGTCTGAGCCGATGGCCGCTGGGTCCCCACGATGAGGTGTAGAGACAGGCGGCCAATCGCAGACGGGCCCCGCGCGACCCGGCGCCCCTCGGGCCCGGCGATTGGCCGCGGCGCCTCGCCCCACCCCGTGGGCTGACTCCGGGCCACCGCGCGCTCCACTCGGCAGCCATTGGGCGCGAGACTGACAGCCGAGGGCCTGCCCCGCGCGCTGCCTGCCGGCGGGGGCGGGACCCGGGGACCCCCCGGGAGCGCGGCCCAAGCTGGGGGGCGCGTCCCCAGCCGCGGTCGTGGGCAGGCCGCTGAGCTCCCCAGCCTGTTTCCTCTTCTGCCAGTGGGGTCCACATCAACCCACGAAACAGACAAGATCGCTGCCCTTGGGGTGCACGTGGGGGTGGGGATACGGGGGAAGCGGGATCAGTAAACAAACCGTCATTGAGGAATATGGTGAAAACTGGTGTGGAGGAGACTGAAGCAGGGCGTGCAGGTTGCAGTTTTATTCGGAGAGCTCTCGGCTGGAAGGCCATCACAGGTGAGGGCTCGCCTGGAAGGGGGCCAGTGATGGAGTTCAGGGTACCGATCAGCTGCGCAGAGCCGCCCAGAGGGCAGGAAGTAGCAGAGTTGGGCAGAGGGAGAATTTGAATGAGGGATGGGGGGCGGGGGGGGGGGTGCAGCTTAGGTCAACCACGTGGGGAAGCCCCCTAATAAGAGAGGCCCGCGGAGTGGTCCCCTGGTTCACATGGCAAGGACTGGGGCATGCATTCCAGCCCTGAGTCAACCCGACTGTAGGCTCACCAAAAACACCTGTCTGTGGCCTATTAAACAGGGCGTTCTACATCCGCTTTAACCATTCAAAACAAAGAAGGTCGTTTAAAAAAATCAAAAGGGAGGAATTACGGTTCAGGCATTTGAAATGGATCTGGATGACCACTGTGGACTGGGTCTCAGACCTGTTCCTGCGTCACTGAGAACTCGAGTTTCCTGAACTTTATCACCCTCAAGGACACCACCAGCTAAGTCTCCGAACAGCCATCTGCCAGCTGCCAGCAGCAAACTTCAAAGACTCAAGGTCTCCTCTTGTCATTAGGCAACCATTTTGGACTCCAACTAATCCTTGCTTAACAAACATACTTACCTCTTGCCAATTGAGATTACAATTATGGACAAATAGCTTTCATCATTTTGTGGGGTTTTGCCTTTATAACCATCCCCCCACTTTGTAGTTTTAATTGCTTCTCGAATCAGAGTCTCCTAGGCTATAATCCTTTATTTGGCTCAAATAAAACTCTTCTATTCCTATTATAGAATCGTTTATTATTTCTGTTGACAGCAGGAGTGGCCAACCCTCTCTCATATACCCCTGCCTCCCTCAATCGTGGTACACAGGCTACTTTTGCAAGGGCATGACCTCGACCTGGATGGCTGCGGAACCCAGACAGCGTCTGGTGGCAAGGGGCAGCTCCATTTGCAATATCTGGGCATCAGCCTTTCTGCCAGAGGGGTCTGCATGGGCGTTTCTGTCTCCCTCATGGAAACATTTGTTCCCTCTGCAGTTTTTTATTTTGAAAATGTCAAACATGCAAACCAGTTGAATAAATAGTAAAGTGAACACCCACATACCTAGATTCAGCAGCTATCAACAGTTTGCCACATTTAATTTCTCTCTGCCTTCCTGTAGCTGTGTGTATTTTCCCTGAAACACTAATTCGCTATAGATGATACCTCCTTCCTGGATATTTCAGTATCCATCTCCTAATAACAAGGACATTCTCCTACATTATCAAAATAAAGTGGCCATACTCTGGAAATCTAGCATTCATTCAATGCTATTGTCTGATATATTACTCATATTCAGTTTCCTCCAATTGTCCCAATCATATCCTTTATGAAAAAGTGAAAGTTGCTCAGTTGTGTCCAACTCTTTGTGACCCCATGGACTATACAGTGCATGGAATTCTCCAGGCCAGAATACTGGAGTGGGTAGCCTTTCCCTTCTCCAGGAGATCTTCCTAACCCAGAGATGGAACCCAGGTCTCCCACATTGCAGGCAGATTCTTTACCAGCTGAGCCACAGGGAAAGCTGAAGAATATTGGAGTGGGCAGCCTTTCCCTTCTCCAGCGGATCTTCCTGACCCAGGAATCAAACCAGAGTCTCCCGTATTGCAGGTGGATTCTTCACCAACTGAGCTATCAGGGAAGCCCATATGTCCTTTATAGCTCATTTTAAAAATCCAGGATCCAATTGGGGAACCACACTGTGCATTTAGTTATCTTGGTTCCTCAGCCTCCTTAATCTAGACCTCTGCCCCAGCACTGCTTTCTGTTTTGTTTTACTGTATCTTCTTGGCCCTTGACCATTTTGAAGAGTCAAGGCTAGCTTTTCTTCACAGCAAGTCTCTTGATTTGGTTTGGTTGTTTTCCTTGTCCTTTTTTTTCCCCAGCCATGTTGAGTAGCACACGGGATCTTAGTTCCCCAGCTAGGAATGGAACCTGTGCCCCTTGCAGTTGAAACCAGAGTCTGAACCACTGGACCACCAGGGAAGTCCCTACCCTTGCATTTAGGTGATGCATTGGGGGCGGGATAATGTACTACATAGATGTCATACAGCACAGCAGGGAGCAACATGATGTCACTTTGTCCCTTTGTCGATGGTGAGTTTGATCCTGTGGTTCAGGTGGTTTCTGGCAAGTCTCCACTTTCCTTTCATGATTAATGAATAAGCTGTAGAGTGGTACTTTGAAACTGTGTAAATACACTGCTCCCAAATAACCTTCGGTCCAATTATCTAGCATTTAATGATGACTCTTGCCAGAATCAAACTTCTTGATGCAAAAGGGTGATCTAACTTCATCATCCTTTCAGGATTGATTAGTTGGCATTTTTTGCTGTAAAGAATTTCCCTTCCATGTTTAGTTCTTTGTCAGTATGGGCTAGTAAATTTTTTGCTCATTGAGGAACTGCCATTTACCTTTTTTTAAAAAAAGTCATTATCTTTGGATATACAAATTGTCCCATAATTGGCCAGTAGGAACCCCTCCAAACCAACTCTCTTTATCAAATAACATGCTCACATCATTATGAAAGAATGTGCTTAGTTTCCACTCCAACCTGACTTTGTAGGATTTGCTCCATTCCTGGCTAAGGCCTAGAATCAGCCATGGTTCAGTTCAGTCACTCAGTCGTGTCCGACTCCTTGCGACCCCATGGACTGTAGCACGTCAGGCTTCCCTGTCCATCACCAACTTGTGGAGCTTGCTCAAACTCATGCCCATTCAACGTGGTGATGCCATCCAACTATCTCATCCTCTGTCATCCCCTTTCTCCTCCTGCCTTCAATCTTTCCCAGCATCAGAGTCTTTTCAAATGAGTCAGTTCTTCGCATCAGGTGGCCAAAGTATTGGAGCTTCAATTTCAGCATCAGTCCTTCCAATGAATATTCAGGACTGATTTCCTTTAGGATGGACTGGTTGGATGTCCTTTCAGTCCAAGGGACTCTCAAGAGTCTTCTCCAACACCACAGTTCAAAAACATCAGTTCTTTAGCCCTCAGTTTTCTTTATACTCCAACTCTCACATCCATACATGACTATTGGAAAAAACATAGATTTGACTAGATGGAACTTTGTTGGCATAGTAATGTCTCTGGTTTTTAATATGCTGTCTAGGTTGGGCATAGCTTTTCTTCCAAGGAGCAAGTGTCTTTTAACTTGATGGTTGCAGTCACCATCTGCAGCCATGGTTGGCAGGAGAGATTTGAGTTAACTGAAAAGGATTGAGGTGTTTCTGGCAAAGAAAACTATCCCCCAAAGGGTCAAAGTTAGAATTAAATGAATGAACATATAAACATTTTCATTCTTTTCTGAGATTTCCAAATTGTCTATCATGAACAAGACCAGCTTTATAAATAGGAAACAAGTTTGTTTCAAATGTAAAAATGTGTATGTATAGGAGAGGCAGCATTGCAAACCGGGAGAAAAGAGTGCCTATTCTATCAAAGATAGCCAGCCAGCTGCTTACTCATATGGGGGAAAAAAAATGAATTCGTCCCCTAAGGGGACTAAAGGGTGAAATGTGAAAACAAAAGCTGAAAAACTACTGGTAGTGAACAGGTTCAAACGCTACAGAGGAAATTGGGCAACATTTAGTCAAGTTGCACATATGCATAACCCAGGTCAGGCGTCTGGGGAGGTGCAGATAGCTGCAGCCCCAGGGGAAACTGGCAACCGTAGATGCAAAGAAACTACAGGTGCCCTCCAAGGAGATGAACTTAGGAACGGAAGTAGCAGTGCGTGTATGTTCAAGCGCGTGTGTGCTGGCTCACTTAAATGCCCGTCGGGGATGAACCGATAAAGTGTGCTTTAGTCCTACTGCGCAGTGCCGAAGCGCAGCAATAACGAAAAGGAACGTAACTGACGTGGGGCGGGGGACTCCTACAGGACTGTTAAGACGCAGTTTGCGGGGAGGTGTGGAATGAAACAGAGGGATGGGGGCACGCGGGCCGGCCGGCCCCTCCACCTGCGATCCAGAACCCGGAGACGGTCCCACCCGCCTGGGTCTGCGTCAGGCGGGCGCCGGCAGAGGTACCGGGGTAGGATTCTCTCCGGTCCCAGGCCGCTCAGCGGGCCTCCCCCCGCGCAGGCGCGGCGAGGAGCTCCACGGGCGGGGCGGAGCGGGGACTGGACGGTTGGGGGCGGGGCCTGCCGTCGCTGGCTCGGAGGTCCAGTCCCGGCCTCGCTTCGCCAGCGGGGCGGGGCGATAAGGGGGCGGGCCTATCGCCATTGCCTCTGAGGTCCAGTCCTGAGGGGCGGGGCGATCCGGGGGCGGGGCCTATCGCCATTGCCTCTGAAGCCTAGTCCCGAGGGGCGGGGCCATCGGGGCGGGGCGAGACGCTGCAGCTTTGCGGGCCTGTCCCTGCAGGGACAACCCGGAAGGACCCGAGCCGCGGCTGCCTCTCTCCCCAGGATACAAAGTCCCACTATCCGGCCGGCCTTTTTGCCCAGGCGTCTGCAGCCAGGATGGGGCGGAAGGTGACCGTGGCCACCTGTGCGCTCAACCAGTGGGCCCTGGACTTTGAGGGCAATTTGCAAAGGATTTTAAAAAGTGAGTCTAGGGCTGGCGTGGGGTGGACAGGTGAAGGTCAGTTCTGGTCACCAGGTTTGCTGTGACGCGTACCCAGCCTTCCTCTGGAGAAACTCGTGGCCATGGGTATGAGGACAGATAAGATAACCTATCTTATGACCACGCCTATGCCCGAGTGCCCAGGTCCTCCTCCTGAGTGAGGTGGGGGGGGTGGGGGGGGTTACAGTGACTGGGGCATGTGGTGTGTACACTTGGTAAGAAAAGTCTGGCCCTGGAGGTGGAGATGAGCAGGCTGGAGTGAGCCGGTCCTCAGGTACCTCGGGTCCCATGTGGCATATATAGAGCCGAATCCAGTCCAGAGAGGGAAGTGGAATACGGGTGAGGCCACCAGCTTAGAGACCAGGTGTGGTCGTTGTGTGTGTGTGACAGGGTCCGTGTAGTTATCACCTGTACCAGCTCACCTTTGAGAGTGGAAGTTTGCACCGTTGACCTCTACACCTGAAATGGGGCTGCCCTGGGTGGTCTGCAGGCTGGCCATCCTCAGTTGCTTCCTGCAGCAGGGCCACCAACCACAGTAAAAACAGGGTGATTCAGGTGAGGGCGTCTTATATCAGCCATGTGCCTTGGGCCTTCCTCCTTTTATTTTTTTCAATCTCAACCTGCTTTTACCTCGTCAGAGCTCAGAGCAAATCTAGTTGATGAGAGGTCATCTCGGGTGGCCAGAATTGTGTGTCCACTCAGCCAGCCTCTCCTCCCCAGACTGCATCTGGAAGCTGCTGCTCAAACCCAGAGGCAAATGGTAGCTGTCACTGGTGCCTTCAGGTCCTGCCTTCTCCCTGCACAGAGTCCTCTCTGTCTGACTGTTAATGAGCTATACCAGTGTGTGACTCCCCCAGCCCAAACCCTGCTCTCCTCCTTGATGCTAAGGCTCATCCCTGCAGGCCCCGCCTCTTATTTCCTGTGTGTGTCAGCAGGGGCTGGGAGATGTCCTTTGGTTTTTTATGATACCCGCGGCAGCAGAAGGTTAAATCTGCCTCCTTTGGACCAGTTGTAGGTGCTGAAATTGCCTTTCTCTCTCTCTCTCTCTCTCTGTGCATGTAGGTATTGTAATTGCCAAACACAGAGGAGCAAGATACAGGCTTGGACCAGAACTGGAAATCTGGTGAGAACAGAGCGCATGGACGCCCTAGGGTGGGCGGGGAGAAGCCGCTGTGTCGCTCCGCCCAGTGAAAGGGCAGGGAAGGAGAGGCTGGGATCGAGAACTGAACACGCAGGCCCACCTAGCAGACAGTCAGAAGCCCCGTGAGTGGGCCTGCTTGATGCCCTTGGACAAGAGCAGGCCAGCCTGCCTGGGTGATCCTGGATTCCTACGTTGAGTAACACGGGAGATAGTAGAGAGGCTGACTTTTCCCATTCCAGGGCCAATGTCAAAGCTGGCTGGACCAGCTGGACCAGATGGCCTTGCATTGGTGTTTGGTCTCACACTTGGCCTAGGAGCTGAGGTAGTGACATCCTCTGAGCAGGAGTCTGTCCTTGGAGAGGAAAGGGCATCCCAGGTCTGGATCCCACACAGAGCATCTCACTGACCTCATTTTCATCTAAGAACCAGGCTCTCCTCCTCATCAGAACCAGAGGCCCAGAGGAATGCTCCTCCAGGCATTAAGAATGACAAAGGCCAGTTTAGAGGTTAGTGTTCATGTCAGCAAAGTTTGCTTGGCATTTTAACATCACTTTTGCTATGTAGTGAGTGTGAAGGACTTTTTGAAGATATAAAAGTAGCTTACAGGGACTTCCCTGGTGGTCCAGCGGTTAAGAATCTGCCCTCCAAGGCAGGGGATGTGGGTTCGATCCTTGGTTGGGGAACTAAGATCCCACATACCTCGGGGCAACTAAGCCTGTGCCCAAGCTACTGAGCCCACTTGCTCTAGAGCCTGCAAGCTGCAACGGAAGATTGCACATGCCTCAACTAAGACCCTACACAGTCAAATATATAATTAGATAAATATTTTTTTAAAAAAGTAGTTTACAAATATTCTACATGTCACTACTGGGACCCCTGCCCTGAAACATTACTCTCAACCCAGTCTGCCCATGTTGGGACCTCACTGGGCATTGTATTAGTTTTTTTCAGGGGCTGTTATACTACGGATTCACAAACTGGATGGTTTAAAACAGCAGAAATTTATTCTTTTCACAGTTCAGGAGGCCTGAAGTCCAAAATCAAGGTGTGGGTAGGGTCCTGCTTCCTCCAAGGCTCTAGGGGAGGGTCCTTCCTGCCTCTTCCAGCTCCTGACTCCCAGCTCCTCATCTCATGACTGCACCCCTCCAGCCCCCCGCCCCTGCCTCTTCTCCACTGGTTTTCCTTCTGTCTCGTGTAAGGACACTTCTCGTTGGATTTAGGGCCCACCTGGATAGGCCAGGATCATCTCCTCTCCAGATCTTTTCACTTACTCACATCTCTAAAGACACTTTTTCCAAATGAGGTCACATCCACAGGTTCTAAGGGCTTCCCAGATGGCTCAATGGTAAAGAATCTGCCTGCCAGTGCAGGAGATGAGAGTTCAGTCCCTGGATTGGGAAGATCACCTGGAGAAGGAAATGGCAACCTTTTCCAGGATTCTTGCCTGGAGAATCCCATGGACAGAGGAGCCTGGTGGGCGACAGTCCATGGGGTTGCAAAGAGTTTGACATGACTGAGCATGCACACGCACGCCATAAGTTCTGGAGGTTAAGACATAGACACGTCTCTTTTGGGGACACCATTCAGCCTGCCGAAAGCTCGAGTAAATCGCAAGAAAGTCATGTAGCCGTGTAAGTGGCATTTGAATGGTTATTCATGGCCCCTTTGCCTAAAGAATATTCTTCTTCCAGCTTTGTTTCTTTTGCATCCCTTTCTTGTAGATTAGTGTAATTTGGGCCACATTGAAGGTTTAAAAAAATCCAAGGGCAGACAGTTTTTGACATGACAGAGAATTTCTCATAGTAACTGAAACTAGGAGCGATGGATGGGGCCCAGTCCATTAATTTCCGACACAATACATCTCTTTTCTTCTTTTTTGTAGCAGTGAGTCTAACTCTAGTTGAACAATAGACTCTCCTGGGAGGCTTTGTAAAGATACGGGTGCCAAAGTCGCACCCTCGCCGGTCACCCTGGCCTGGCCCCAGGCCCCTGCCCCAGCCCACCCCATGCCCACCTGCTGTGTCCCAGGCACTCACTGTTCTCGCCTTCCTCTGCAGCGGCTACGGCTGTTGGGATCATTATTACGAGTCGGACACCCTCCTGCATTCGCTCCAGGTCCTGGCGGCCCTTTTGGAGTCTCCGGTCACTCAGGATGTCATCTGCGACGTGGGGATGTAAGTGCAGCCTGGGGGGGTGGCGTGGGAGAAGGGCCAATTCCAGGGCCTGCTGTGTCCGGAGGCATCCCTGCAGCGGGGATGTGGCATCTGCTCCCTGCCTGGCCCTGCAGACCCCTGACTCCCCAGGTGGATGCAGCTTTGGGGAGATTTTTTATGTTTCTCCAAGTGCTACTGTGCACCGTGGGAACACGCTTTGCACAAGGCACAGCGCAGGGTCCCCCTATCTCCTGTGTAGCGTTTTCCTCACTTAGAGTCAGTCTGGGGATGGCTTCCTGTCACTCTGGGCTTCCCAGGTGGCGCTCGTGGGCAAGAAGCCTCCTGCCAGGGCAGGAGACATAAGAGACATGGCTCAGGAAGGTCCCCTGGAGGAGGGCATGGCAACCCACTCCAGTATTCTTGCCTGGAAAGTCCCCATGGACAGAGGAGCCTGTGAGCTACAGTCCGTGGGGTCGCAGAGTTGGACATAAGTGAGTGACTGAGCACACATGCACGCATGTCATTCCATGTTGACACACAAGCCATCTGGTTCCAGAGGGTGTGGATACATACGTGTAGGCTCCGTAGGTGTAGGTGCATGCGGTGTAGGGCCATAGGTGCAGGTTCCATATGTAGAGATGTCTACGGTGTAGGTTCCATAGCTGTAGGCCCCGAGGCCTACAGGCAGACCTCTGAGACCTTGCAAGCTCAGTTCCACTCCACTGCAGTAAAGCCAAATATAGAAGTAAAGCAAGTCACACCAATTTGAGGGAGGAGGTTTCCGGTACATATAAAACTTACGTTTACATTTTACTGTTCTATCTAAAAATACACATACATACCTTACTTTAAAAAACTTGATTGCTAAAAAATCCTATCCTCTCAGCCTCCAATGAGCTATCATCTTTTTGCTGGTGGAGGGTTTGAAATATCATGAGAATTATTAAAATGTGACCCAGAGACCGGAAGTGAGCAAAAGCTGTTGGGAAAATGGCATCAATAGACCTGCGCCACGCAGGGTTGCCACAGACCTTCAACTTGTAAAAAATACAGTATCTGCGAAGCACAATGAAGCAAACTGCAATAAAATGAGGTCTACCGGTAGGTCCCTATGGTATAGATTCCCCGAGTGCAGGTCACATGGGGAGGACTCTGGCCTAGGATTATTCTATTCTAGATTGTGTCTGTGACCAACTTTGTGTAAGCGGGCCGACTGACAGGCTTCGTGTTGCTTCTGTTTGCGTCTCTGTTCTGTGTTACGTGGTGTGAATGTAGCCAAGTTTGCTTTCTTTTTCCTCAGCCTTGCATGTATTCTTCACTTCAACCTGCTGTGACATCTGTGTAGCAGGATCTCTTCTAAGCAGTGACTAGAGGGATTTTTAGCCCAGTTGGTTCACATCTATTATAATTCTTGATATGTGGACCATGTTTGTTTCTTGTTGTGCTGTTGTGACAGCTTACCACAAATGCAAAACACAGAACCACACAACCCTGCTGTCTTGTGGTTCCGGAGGTCACGAATCTAAATGGGTCGGAGGGGCTGGTTGCTTCTGGAGGCTCTTGGAGGAGAATCGGTTTTCTTGTCAAGTCCAGCTTCCAGGCTCGCCCGCAGTCCTCAGCTCGCGGCCCCTCCCTCCATCCTCGCAGCCAGAGATCACATCACTGCAGCCCCTGCTCCTGTTGCCGCGTGTCCTCCGGGTGCCCTCCTCCCTCGTGTAAGGACCCCTGTGGTTCCGATGAGGGCCCTGGGGAGTCTGGGGGGATCTCTGGTCTCAGGATCTGTAGCTTAATGATGTCAGCAGGGTCCCTTTCGCCACGTGAGGTGACATGTCCACGGGTCCCGGGAATCAGGATGGGGGCATCAGTGGGGGTCTTTACTCAGCCCACCACATGGACGGATTCTTGCCACTTTATTAGCTGTCCTGGTCACCATGTTTTCTTTCTTTATTGTTTTCCCCTTTTTGTCTTTTTGTTTGTTTTCTTGGCCTGTTTTCCTCTTCTGGCCTTGAATTTGTAATCTGACTTTAATTTTTCTACTTTTTTGCCCTTAAAACATTAACAATCATATTCTAAAATGTTTTTTCTGGGACTTTCCTGGTGGTCCAGTGGCTAAGACTCTGCACTCCCAATACAGGGGGGCCAGGTTTCATCCCTGGTGAGGGAACTAGGTCCCCCATACTGAAACTAAGAGTTCGGATGACAACCCACCCCAGTATTCTTGCCTGGAGAGTTTCATGGGCAGAGAAGCCTGGTGGGCTGCAGTCCATGGGGTTGCAGGGTCAGACACAACTGAAGTGACTAATACACACGCCACAGCTAAAGGAAGACCCCCCCATACTACAGTGAAGACCAAAGGTCCCAAGTGTTGCCCCTAAGACCTGATGCTGCTTAGTAGGGGAATATTTTTTAAAAGAAATTTTTCTTTTGAAATCCAACATTTACCTGGATCTGTAAGTGCCACTGAACAAAATGGCAGTTATACCATGATGTCACTGATATTCACCATCTAGAATTGCCTTATTCCTCCAAGAGAAAGACACTGAGTCTCCCTCCAGGTTTCTGTGGTTAGAGGCATGTTACCCTTAGCACTGATCGCAGAGGGCTAGCTCAAAATAAAGAAAACTTAAAAAAACAAAATAGACAAAATCTTAGAGTGAGCAATAACTTTTTTTAAAAAAAGCTATCATATTTATTTTTGTCATGATTTATGAAACTGAACTTTTCTTTTTTTTTTCTTTTTAGGCCATTTGTGACACTATCTTGCTTGTTCTTTTGCCAGCAATTGAAGTGTTTGTGTCTGATTTATTAAGAGTTCTTTATATATGAAAGATATCAAGCGGTCCCCATATATGATAAAATTACACTTCCTTGTCTGTTGTTTGCTATTTAATTTTATGTTTTGAGCTTGAAATCTTTCTGGTCATGCTTTTTGTTTGTTTTTGTCTGAGAGGCTTACTCCCGCTGGAAATCAGATATTCACTGAGGGTTTCTTTTTCGTTTAAAAGATGTTCACCTCCTGCCCTGAACACGTTTTTGTATGAATGTGAGCGTGGTGGGTTTGGGTTGGCCTGGGAGGAATGGAAACTGGAACGGTGGGAGTGCTTGCTGTTGGCATCTGTGTGCCGAGCCTGGGCCTGCATCCTGCCCCTTAAAATGCTCCGAGAGGAGAAACCGGGGCCGCTCAGCTCAGCCAGTGCGAAGCGGGATTGGAACCCGGCCACCTGACTTTACAGCGCACACTGCTTACGGATGCTTTCACCTCCTCTTGCACCCCTGCCCTCTTTACTCTCTTCCCTGGGCCGTATTATTTTCTATCTGATGATCCATCCTTAAGGCCCTCCTCCCTGGGTGCCTGATGCCTTTTGCCCTGAGATCCTGCACTCTTGCCCTGAGCTGGGCTCTGCCATCCCTGCCCAGCGCTGTCCTGGCCAGCGGCCGGCAGAGTGCCCTGGCTTCCAGAGCACTGGCCCCTCCACTGCAGAGGAGGAAGGTTCCAGGTGATCGGGGAGGGTGTTTGTCCTGAGGGGTCCAGACAGAGAGGCGAGCAGATCTGTCCAGTGCCCTGCATGCCCTGCCCCTGCCCTGGCCCCCCCCGGGCTGGTCCCCCTGCCCTGCATTCTTGGTGGGGGGGCGCTCAGTCAGGAGAGATGCCATGGCGGAGAACTGGGGTTGTGCAGGGGGCGGGTCCCTGAGGCCAGCAGGGGATGGACAGGTGACGGGGCAGCAGGGGTGCACGCAGAGGGAAGGAGGCGGCCACCTGATGGTCTGAGGACCTCCTGGAAGGAGAGGACAGGCCCCGAGTGGGAAGGACTTTGTGCGCGAGTTAGAAGACTCTCCCATTATTTAGTCTGTGCCGTAGCAGAAACGCTCGGGTTCGTTGCTCGCTTTCATTTGAGAAGAGGAGGCCTTCTGGTTCCCGCAGAGGACTGGGAGAAACTTCCTTTTAAAGCAGATGTGGGGCTCCGCTCTTTGCAGATGTACATCCCCTCTCTCCACAGGCCTGTGATGCACCGAAACGTCCGCTATAACTGCAGGGTGATATTTCTCAACAGGTGGGTGACTGCCGGGAGCAGCGCGACCCCTTTTTCCCCTGGGCTCAGGGCTTGGTCCCCAGGGGCTTCTTCTGGAACTGCCTTCGTGGGGGTGGGGTGCCAGGCAGGCAGGCGTCGCAGGTGGCACTGCTTGCCCTGGGCTGTCGCCACTGACACCTTCGGACATCAGAACGGGTGATGGGCGGAGTGTGGGGACACACAGCTCTGCAGCCTGGAGGTCAGTCCTGGGAAGGCGGCCTTGTAATAATGTCCCGTTCGCAGACCCTGGGCATCAGTTGCTGGCAAGTGCCCACCCTCCGGGTCTTAGCGGCTCTGTCCCCATCGACGGTCAGGGTGGACGGGCTGGTGGCTGCTCCGTGTCACGTGGGGCGTGCTCATCGCAGGAGCGGCCTTGTTCCCCTGTCTGTAGGAAGATCCTGCTCATCAGACCCAAGATGGCCTTGGCGAATGAGGGCAACTACCGCGAGCTGCGCTGGTTCACGCCCTGGTCCAGGAGCCGGTGAGTCTGCCCGCGCGCGGGAGCCCGGATGGTGGCTGCTCCTAGGATGCATGGGGGAGATAGACAGAGATTCGGGCCAGCGTCCCTGTCCCACACGGGACCTGTCATTTAGTGATGGCTGCCTGAGGCTGCTAATTAACTTGTAGCTAGTTTATCAGACACCACAAAAAACGCTCAGTCATCAGTCACCCGTCACCCATCATTCTACATCTGGCTTGGTCTTGCTGTGGGGGTGTCCTGTGCCTGGAAGAGTGTGCAGAAATGTCCGTGGCCTCCACTGGGGGATACGTCTGCATCCCTCTGTCAGTTTATGCTGTCTCCAGACATTGCCAAGCATCCCCTGGGACAGAATTGTCCCTGTTTGCCTACCCTGCGTTCTTCTTAATAGTTATCGCTATTTTTTTTCACTGTCGCCGCTATTGCCAATGAAATCTTTAACGTGACTTTTAAACATTTTATTGGCATATAGTTGATTTACAATGTTGTGTTAATTTCTTCTGAGCAGCAAAATGATTCAGTTATATGTCTAGATACATTCTTTTTCAAAAATTTTGTGTATTTATTCTTGGGTCTTTGTTGCCGTGTGGTCTCTTCTCTAGTTGTGGTGAGAGAGGGTGACTCTCTAGTTGCGGTATGGGGGGGCTTCTCCTGTTGCAGAGCGTGGGTTCTGGGGCACACGGGCCTCAGTATTTGCAGCACATGGGCTCCAGGGCACAGGCTAAATGATTGTGGAGCTTGGGCTTAGTTGCTCTGCGGTATGTGTGGTCGTCCGGGATCAGGGATCAGACCCGTGTCTTCTGCATTGGCAGACAGATTCTTTACCACTAAAAAAGCCCTGTATACATTCTTCTTCGTGTGTGAATTGAGGAGGGGAGGAGGGGATGAAGGGAGAAACCTTGGGCAGCTCTCCCTTGAAAACAGACTGTGATACAGCAACATCAGTCATGATGAGCAAACCTACCGATGGTGAATCAAGTGCTCATTGTGGGGTGCCATGGCAGCTCGGGGGTCAGAGGGCGTCTGCGGCATCTGTTCCCTTCATTAATGAGGGCGCCACGGCGTCATCCCCTCAATGTCTCTGCTCTTAAATTTTAGTTAAGGGATTTCCCCGGTGGCCCAGTGGTTAGGACTTCATCCTCTAGTGCAGGGGATGTGGGTTCGATCCTCAGCTGGGGACCTAAGATCCCACATACCTCAGGGCTGAAAAACCAAAACATAAAACAGAAGCCATATTGTAACAAATTCAGTAAAGACTTGAAAAATGGTCCACATCAAGAAAAAAATCTTTATCAAAAAAATTACTGAAATAAAAGTCACTAAGATCTCCCAGGAGGTTCTTGTGAATTCTGAGAAAGCAAAAAGAAATCTAGTTAATTCAATATCTTCATGGTACATCTGGCAACAGCCCACTTGAGGTCGGATTTGGAAACGATCTAGTATTTGAATTCTGCCTGTTAGGGTAGACCTTGGGGTGGCTTGGGCTTCCCTGGGGGCTCAGATGGTAAAGAATCCGCCTGTGATGCAGGAGACCCGGGTTTGATCCTGGGTGGGGAAGATCCCGTGGAGGAGGGAATGGCCTCCCACTGCATTGTTCTTGCCTGGAGAATTCCGTGGACACAGGAGCCTGGTGGGCTATAGTCCATGGAGCTGCAAAGAGTCGGACACGAATGAGCGACTATCACTTTCACTTTCTAGGATGGCTTGTACAGAGTTGTGTATTAAACTCTCTCTCCATCTTACATGATTCGGACATGATTGCTGTCATGTTGTGATGATACAGGCTTGTCTCTGCATGCTGGCTTCATGCAGTGCTATCTTTCTGATTGAAGAGTTTTCCTCAGAAATTCCAGCCACATTTCTCTGTGGGGAAATGTGTCTCCTTCTCGGACAGTTCCCTCGATGTGCCTCTCAGACGCTGTAATGAAAGCATGGGGCAAGCAGGGCCAGTGAGGGAGCTCCCAAGTGCCTCGGTGTCCCGTGGCCTGAGAGCCTCATGGAGTCGCCTGGCTCTTCCCTTTTTACCTTAGCTTGGTCGCAACAGCGTGTGTGAAAACCTGATAGTTCCTTTGCCAGCTCACAGGCTCCGCGCCCTCAGTTTGAGCTTTGCCCTGCATCCGGATGCCATTCTGTGTTTTCCCTGAGACGGTCCAACTCAGGTCTGTGGTGGTTCCCCTTCCAGGCAAACAGAGGAGTATTTTCTCCCCCGGATGTTACAGGACCTGACTAAGCAGGTGAGTCTCGGGGCAGAAAGCTCTTTGTCCGTCAGGCTGCCCCTCTGGGGTGGGCCGTGGGGGCAGGACCCTTGGGGACAGGGTCACAGCATCACTGTAAGGAAATGTAAGGAAAACACAGATGGGGGGTGATTTCTGTCACAAGTGAGGAGGGTCCCAGGAGCATGGGGGGGTGGGCGCCTCCTTGCTGCTGCATGATGTCCCCTCCTCTCCTCCGGCTCACACCATGGGCTGGGCTCAGGGGAGCTTGGGAGGGGGCTTCCTGCACCACCCTGGCCGGCGGGCAGAGGAGATGCCCGCTGGCCCTGGGCTGGTAATGCTCCCCGGGGGAGGAGGGATTCATTAGGGCTTGAAACAAAATGTCGGCCTTCCTACGAGTCCCATGTGTGGCCTCTGGGGTCCCGGCTCAGCATGTGGCCCAGACGGGACGGCCGGGGGCCTCATGAGCTCTGGTCTCCCTCCTAGGAAACTGTGCCCTTTGGGGACGCCGTCCTCTCCACGTGGGACACCTGCATCGGGAGTGAGGTCTGTGAGGAGCTCTGGACGCCCCACAGGTTAGCCCTGCCCTCTGTACCCTCTGATCCCCATCCTTGCAGGGCCCAAGGGGGCTGGGTATTTGCAGCCATCTTGGCGTCTCAGCCCGGGGCAGGGAAGATACCCCAGGAGGTGCGGGACTGGGTGGGCGGGCTGGGGACACGAGTCTCTTCTCTTTGACCCCCTCTGCCCGCAGCCCGCACGTGGACATGGGCCTGGATGGGGTGGAGATCTTCACCAACGCCTCGGGCAGCCACCACGTGCTGCGCAAAGCCCACGCCCGGGTGGACCTGGTGACCATGGCCACCACCAAGGTAGGCGGTGGCGGGGACACGGGTGCATGTGTGTCTCACACACGCGGGACCCCAGCGCCCAGCGCAGAGCGAGGCCTGAGCGCGGGGCTGCCCGGTGCTCCTGGGTCCGGCGTGGCTGACCGGCCCCTGTGACTCCCCCTCCCAGGCCCCACGTCCATGACCTTGTTTAGTGATGGAAAGCACCCTATGAGGCAGGCGCTGTTGCCACCTCCGCTCTCTGGAGCAGGGCACCCAGCACATGGCTGTCACGTGGCCTCTGGCCTCACACCCCAGCCGTCCAGCTTCTGGGCTCTCAGCCATCACACTGGTCTCGGGACAAGTGACCAGGAATCAGGACCCCCTTGGCACCAGAGCCGGGCCCGGGGAACGCCCATGAGTTTGCCGCTGTTGCGGGCAGCGTAACCCCAGGGGCCGCGTCTGCTCTTTCCGGGGGCAGAATCCGGAGTTGTGTTCTCCGAAGCTCCGTCTCTTCTCCCTCCTGGGGGAGGTGGCGGCACCCGCCTTGGAGGGTTGTTGGGGTGAGAGTAGACGCTCTGTGTGACGCCTGCTGCCTTGGGAGGCTGAGGCCGTCATAGCCGCGGGGCCTTCCCTGGAGGCGTGTGTTTTACTGGCTGGAGCTGGGGCGCTGATTGTTCGTACAGCACAGTTGCGGGGGGTGGAGGCCTGAAGCCCCCGCATGTCTGGGCCGGCAGAGGGTGAAGGTGATGGATCAGAGCTGACCACTGCCATCCCCTGTGTTTTGCAGAACGGCGGGATCTACTTGCTGGCCAATCAGAAGGGGTGTGACGGGGACCGGCTCTACTACGACGGCTGTGCCCTCATAGCCATGAATGGCAGCATCTTTGCCCAGGGGTCCCAGTTCTCTCTGGATGATGTGGTTCGAGCCGGCCCGAGCAATGGCGGGAGGGTCCCTCATTCAGAGGCTGTGTTCTCTGCTCTCCCCATAACCGGGGGTCTCATGTGCCCCCCCGGGAGGGATCCTGCTAGTTGTGATTGCTTCCTCTTCACCTCCTTGGTGGGGTGAGGGTTTCCTACCCTGAGGTTACAGGGACGCCCCCACACAATGCACTGGACGGACGGATCCATGGTGGGTTATCAGCCCCGCACGCCCTGGAGGTCCCCACGAGGCTGCAGTGGAGCTGAAGGAGAGGCTCAGCACTGCGGGAGGAGGGGGCTTGGTAGTGACCAAAGGGCGGGTGGCCCCTGGCTCCAGGGAGGAGAGCATGGGCTTGTGGGAAGAATCCCATGGCTGGCGGGTAACTGGAGCCAGTCCCAGGAATGAGCAGACACCGCATATGGTCCAGCAATAATGGGGTCATTTGGGAGGAGCAGAGCAGCAAAGAGCCTTGCACGTGGGCCCTTGGAGTATTTTTCCCCAGAGGTCAAGGCAACACAAGCTGGAATCAAGATTGCCGGGAGAGATATTAATAACCTCAGATATGCAGATGACACCACCCTTATGGCAGAAAGTGAAGAGGAACTAAAAAGCCTCTTGATGAAAGTGAAAGAGGAGAGAAAACCTGGCTTAAAACTCGACATTCAGAAAACTAAGATCATGGCATCCGGTCCCATCACTTCATGGCAAATAGAAGGGGAAACAATGGAAACACTGAGAAAGTTTATTTTGGGGGGCTTCAAAATCACTGTAGATGGTGACTGCAGCCATGAAATTAAAAGATGCTTGCTCCTTGGAAGAAAAGCTATGACCAACCTGGACAGCTTATTAAAAAGCAGAGACATCATTTTGCCAAAAAAGTCCGTCTAATCAAAAGCTGGTTTTTCCAGTGGTCATGTATGGATGTGAGATTTGGAGTATAAAGAAAGCTGAGGGCTGAAGAACTGATGCTTTCTAGCTGTAGTGCTGGAGAAGACTCTTGAGAGTCCCTTGGACAGCAAAGCGATCCAACCAGTCCATCCTAAAGGAGATCAGTCCTGAATATTCATTGAAAGGACTGATGCTGAAGCTGAAGCTACTTTGGCCACCTGATGTGAAGAGCCAACTCTTTGGAAAAGACCCTGATGCTGGGAAAGATTGAAGGCAGGAGGAGAAGGGGATGACAGAAGATAATATGGTTCGATAGCATCACCAACACAATGGACCTGAGTTTGAGCAAATTCCGGGAGATGGTGAAGGACATGGAAGCCTGGCGTGCTGCAGTCCTTGGGGTTGCAAAGAGTCAGACCCAATGTAGCGACTGAACAACAACAAAGAGAATTGTGTGGCTCTCGAGAGTTTTTTAAGCCTCCAAGAAAGAAAATGACTGTTATTGCTCCCAAATGGGAATCAATTCCAAATCTGCAAACAAAACACAAAGTAACTTTCGGTTCTGCCAAAAAGAGTTGCTGTGACTGGGCTCAGGCGGTCAGCATAGGCTTCACACGGCATCTCTCGTCTTGTCTTTTCGGGGTTTTTGGAAACAAATGTTGGAAATGCTTATTCACAGAAGCAGGTAGTAGCAGGAGAAAAAAGGGTTTCTGGGGATTTCTCTGTCAGAGCAACACAAGCGGGTGTCTCCGAATAAGAATTTCTCCAGGACCCTCTGATGCGATGTCTGTTGCTTCACTGTTTCACATACTTGTGCGGTCTCACTGGGGTTGTCGGCAAGGAAGTGGTTATGAAATGAAACTTCAGTTTCAGAATGGACTGAGGAAAGGAACCTTGGAATGAATTCATGGTATTTCTTGCTCAGAACGAAGCCCAGGGTTTGGCAGTCTGGCCCTAGCAGCTGGAAGAAGCCAGTTCCCTGCAAATGGTCCCCAGACCATGGGGACCCTGATCCTGCTTTCCCAGTGGGAATGAGCATAGTCCCCAGACCTTGCCTTCCCGGTGGCGGGGTCCCCAGAGGCCTCCTGCTGTTCAGTGTTAACCTTGATTAAGACGGAAGGCCTCCGGAGGTGCAGGTGAGGTCCATGCAGACGGCCAGGCGCTCGTCTGCTCCAGACACGCCTCAGCGCAGGTCTGCTTGGCCAGGGCTCTTGGCCAGACGTCCGGGCCACAGGTACTTGCTGGTGGGACTGACTGGCAGTGAGTTCCGGGGATCGCCTGCACCTGGATGAGCAGGTGTGCAGGTGGCTGCAGGTCCCAGGCCCCCCAGGAGCCCCCGTCTCACCAAGCACCCAGGTGACTGTTTGCCACACTATAGCCTGGGGACCGCTGCCCCACACCCCCAGGGGGCCCTTGAGCCAGAGTCTCCTGATTTGGGTGTTCCTGGCAGAGGCGGCATCACTGCCCTGGGGTGTGGGCAGTGCCCTTTGGTTCTGCCACCTCTCTGGTCCATGGACCTTCTTGAGGGCACGTGCTTCTCATGGCCTTGACCCGGCCTTTGTGTGCAGCTAACCTAGTTCCAGGAAAAGTGGACTGCGGCCTTCCTCTCAGGAAGGGTTCACTCCTCTGGGGTCTTCCCAATTTCTGTGGCTTCGTCAGGAGCAGCCTGGTGGCTTCTGTGGCCAGCACTTGGGAAATGACAGAAGGACTAGTGGACATGGGAGTTCTTTGCTGTCTGTCTCTTCACAGGCGTTTCTATCTCGGGTTAGGCTCGGTGTTGGCATAGACGGCTGCCCACGGCCAGCAGCAGGAGCAGAGGCCTGGCCGCCGTGGGTCCCCCTCAGAAGTAGTTGCTGCTGGCCTGCACCTGCATGTATGAGACAGTATCCTAGTGGTATGACCTGGTTAGGATTTTTTTCATAAAGAAAGGAGTAATATCGCTGAGTTGAAACTTTTCTGTTTTCTGCTGTTGGTTGCAAGTGCCAGAACCTCCATCTCATCTGGATTCAAAGGCAATGAAGCGCCATGTCCTGGAACACATGCAGCACATCTAGGCTGGGACCTTTGTGTGATGATTGCTGGGGCTCTGGCTCCATCCCTTTGTCACTCTCCAGCTGGGCCTTCCTCTGTGTAGGCTTCATTGTCAGCTGCCTCATGGTCACAGGATGGCTGCAGCAGCTCCAGCCATCTCATCTTCATACAGCCACAGTCAAAGGCAGAAAGAGGGCCCTTGCTCTCCCTGTGTGTTTTTAGGAAGCTGTCTCAGAAGCCCCCAACAGACATTTGTTGTGTCTCATCAGGAAGTGTGTCAGTTCAACAGAGATTCTGGTGGCGATGACAGGAGGGAAGGGCTTTGGGCGGGCCACCAGTGGTGCTCCCCTCTCCCCAGGCCCCCAGTGCCTGCCTTGGAAGCTGGGACTCACTGTGTGTAATGTGGCATACCTAGGAAAATAGATGTGTGAGGGAAGAAATAGGAAATCACGATTTTTCTCTGAAACTCCCTTCTCTAGGAAGTCCTCACTGCCACGTTGGATTTGGAGGACATCAGAAGCTACAGGGCAGAGATTTCATCTCGAAACCTGGCGGTAAGCGATTATAGACACATCCATAGGATGCTCATCAAAGATGGGGAAATGTTTTTAGTAATAGCTTCACTGAAATGTCATTCTCGTACCCTATAATTCACTGACTTCAGCACATGATGCAGTGGTTTTTAGTGTATTTGTGGAGTTGAGCAGCATCACCACAATCAGTGTCAGAACATTCTTATCACCTGAAAAAACCCTGGACCCATGAGTTGTCTCATTCACCTCCCTCAGGGCCCCTGGCAACCACGGTCCGTGTTGACTCTATGGGTTTGCCAATTCTGGACATTTCATATAAATGGAATCATATAATATGTGGCCTTCTGCAACTGACTTCTTTCACTGAGGATAGTGTTTTGTGGTTCATCCATGCTGAGGTGTGTGTTCTTCATTCCTTTTTATGGCTGAGTAATATTCCACTGCATGGGCAGCCCACATGCTGTGTGTCCATTCACCCGTCGGTGGACATTTGGGCCGTTTCTGCTCTGTCCATGATGACGGTGCTGCTGAGGGCCTATGCCAGGCGTCTGTGTGGACACGTTTGCGCGTCTTCTGTTATCTACCTGGGGCTGGCCTGTGGGGTCCTGTGGTGATTCTCTGTTTAGTGGTGGGAGGTCCTGCCAGACTGTCCTCAGTCACTTCTCCGTCTCGCGTCTCCCCGGCGCTGTGCGAGGGTTCCAGATCCCCACATCCCGCCAGTGTTTGCGACACCCATCTGTGTCCTGGCCGTCCTGGTGGCTGTGAAGGGTCCCCACCGGGATTCTGAGCTGCGTAGCGTTCCCCCTTCAGTCATCCCAGGGACCTGTATGGGTTCAGGCTCTCAGGAGGGTGTCCTCCCAGGCCAGCAGGGTGAGCTCCTACCCCCGCGTGAAGGTGGACTTCGCGCTCTCCTGCCACGAGGACCTGCTGGAGCCCGTGTCTGAGCCCGTCGAGTGGAAATACCACAGTCCCGCCGAGGAGATCAGGTGGGGCTGTTGGTGTGCAAGGGAGCGGGTGGAGGGGGGTCTGGTGGTTCAGATGGCAAAGAATCCGTCTGCGATGCGGGAGACCAGGGTTCGATCCCTGGGTCAGGAAGATCCCCTGGAGAAGGGCATGGCAACCCACTCCTTCCTGCCTGGAGAATCTCATGGACAGAGGAGCCTGGCGGGCTACAGTCCACGGGGTTGCAAAGAGTCGGACACGACTGAGCGACCGGTGCACTGTCCTTCCCAAGGCACTCCCTCCGTCCCCTGCTGTGCTGCCAAGTGGCCTCTTGGGGGCCTTGCGCCTTGGTCTCCAGAGCCTGCAGTCGACACTGTGACTAGACCGCGGGCCCCACGCCCAGCCCACCCGCCCTGCCTTGGGCCCTTGGGCATAGAGACACCGGGCTTGCTTCTCTGTGTCTCCATCTCCCCCACGGGACCAATGATCGCTCCTACCTCCTGGGGCCGCTCTGAGGCTTCAGATGCACTCATTCCCTCGAAAGGCTGAAAGCAGCCGGGGGCAGCATGCTGGCGCTGCCCACCGGCCCTGTGTCCACCTGGGCACCTGCCCCTAGGTGAGCTGCGAACCAGGGCGGCGGCTCGCCAACCTCATGCTTCCCACTGTTCCCTAGCCTGGGACCCGCGTGCTGGCTCTGGGACTTCTTAAGACGCAGCCGACAGGTAAGATGTCGGGGGGGATGGGGGGATCTGGCCAGCCGCCTTTAATCCTTCTACAGTGGGTTTGCGTTTGACCTTGTGGCATGCTGATGACTTTTTTTTTTAAGATGAATTTATTTAATTTGCTTTCTGATGGTGGTGGGTCTTTGCTGCTGCACACGGGCTTTCTCTAGTTGCCGCGAGCGGGGGCTGCTCTCCAGTTGAGTGTGTGGGCTTCTCACGGTGCTGGCTTCTCTTGTCTTGGAGCCGGGGCTCGAGGGCACATGGGCTCTCGAGTGTGAGCTCAGTAGATGTGGCACACAGGCTTAGGTGACCTGCGGCAGGTGGAGTCCGCCCAGACCAGGGGTCGAGCCAGGGTCCCTTGCATTGCGTGACAGATTCTTAACTTCTCGGTCACCGGGGAAGCCCTGACAGGTATTTCTTCATGCAAACATTTCCTGACTCTGCCTCAGTCAGGAGCCTCGGCTACCCTGGCCAAGGTCGCACTGAGGTTTGGCTCTGTCTTTGGGGTCCTGTCTGATGACCCCGAGTTACAAGACTTTCTGCCTAGTTGTGTGGTCGTGCGCGTCTGTAATTCACGGCGGAGACACAGCCTTGGGCCCTCCACGGTGGAGCTCCATTCGCCTTATGGAACATGCAGGGCTCCCTTCTCCTCCCCGGGGGAGAGCACTTTGTGGGCGCTTGTTTTTGCCAGGGGAACCGGGCTCACTGCTGGGCATGAGGCTCCACTCACGCCGCCGTCTGGTTGACCTGTTCCAGGCGGGGTTCTTCCTTCCCCTGAGCGGCGGGGTGGACAGCGCGGCCACCGCCTGCCTGGTCTACTCCATGTGCCGCCAGGTCTGCGAGGCTGTGAGACGTGGAAGTAGGTGATGCCTGGGGCCCGAACACGTTCCAGGGCGGGGGCTCAGCCTGTGGGAGGAGCAGAGGGGCAAACCCAGCTCCTGGGCATCATGGTGGGGGGCATGCTCAGATGTCCCAGCGTCACCCCAAGTCTCGGGACCTGGGCGCTAAAGTCCCTTCCAGGGCCTCAGGCCCACATGGCTGGGTCCATCCAGCCCACAGGGTGCCTGCCGCTGCTGTGTGTCGGCAGCCTGGCCGGGAGGAAAGCACAGGGCCCTGGGGTCAGGCCAGCCCAGGTTCACACCCTGCCGCCGTGAGAGACGACGTCAGCCATTCCCGAAGCGTCCGCAGCTGAGAAACGGGCACTGTGGGGTCATCCGGCGAGACTGCTGGGCGGCGGAGCGGGTCCGGGTGGTGCAGGCGCCGGACTCACAGCACGTGCCCTCTGTCCCATGGGTTTCAGATCCAGAGGTGCTGGCTGACGTCCGAATCATCGTGAACCAGCCCAGCTACACCCCCCAGGACCCCCGGGAGCTCTGTGGCCGCGTCCTGACCACCTGCTACATGGCCAGCGAGAACTCCTCCCAGGAGACCTGTGACAGGGCCCGAGAGCTGGCCCAGCAGATTGGAAGGTAGCTAGTCCCTGGTATCGGGCTCGGCGGCAGGCGGGGACCACAGGAAGCTCCCCCGAGACCCCATTGGTGGGTCACTGAGCACCCCAGAGGCGAGCAGCTTTCCCTTCAGCTTCACCCCAGATCTTCTCCATGTCTGAGCCTCCCCCTCCCCTCCATCCTTCCCAGGAGCGGGCTGATGCGCTCCGGGTGGGAGCACAGGAGCCCCTCGCCGCTCTGGGGGGTACGGCCCCCGCCTTCCTCCTCCTTTCTCGGGGGCCAGGTACCAGACACAGGTGCAGGGGGGTGCGTCTTTCTGTTCAGGGAGACTTGGTTCCGTTCAGAACATTCCATCTGTTCTGCCTCCAAAGAAAAGATAAGGTAGCTGCCCATTCTGTAAGCAGAGCTCAGCTAAAAGCTGCCCCTACCAGCAATGCTGCCCCCAGGCAGAGGGACTGAAAGCAAAGACATGAGCAAGTATTTACACATTCGTGTCCACGCAGCATGGTCACAGCTCACACATCATCAGCAGTTGAGGAGAGAATCATGATGTGGTCTGTTCACACATGGGGGTGCTTCTCAGCCTTAAAAAGGAAGGAAGCGCTGACACAGGCTACCACCTGGGTGAACCCAAAAGCATTAGGTTCAGTGAAAGAAGCCAGACACGAAAGGACAGGTCCTGTGTGATTCCATTTCTACGAAAGGTCCAGAATAGGCAGATCTCAGGGCTTCCATGGTGGCTCAGCGGTGAAGAACCCGCCTGCCAGTGCAGGAGACGAAAGGGATGCAGGTTCGATCCCTGGGTTGGGAAGATCCCCTGGAGAAGGAAATGGCAACTGACCCCAGTATTTTTGCCTGGAAAACTCCGTGGACAGTGGAGCCTGACCAGGCTCTGGTCCATGGGGTCACAAAGAGTCAGACACGACTGAGCGCGCATGCACACACACACATGCAGAAAGGGTGTCCGTGGTCATCAGGGGCTGGAAGAGGAGGGCTTGGGGAGGGACTGCTCGTGGGCGCAGGGTCTCCTTCTGGGCCGCTGGAAGGTTCTGGAACTAGAGGTGGTGGTGGCACGTCGTGAATGTGCTCAGCGCTGCTGGACAGTGCCTTTGAAGGCGGCGCGCTCCATGCCCTGTATGTTTCTGTCACTGTCTGCACGCCCACCCGTTCTCCTTCCAGCCACCACGTCGGTCTCAGCATTGACCCAGCGGTCAAGGCGCTCGTGGGCATCTTTAGCCTGGTGACGGGCACGAGCCCTCGGTTTGCAGTTCACGGAGGGAGCGGCCGGGAGAACCTGGCTCTGCAGAATGTGCAGGTGCGCCCCCCACCTTGTCCGCATGCGGGGACTGCAGGGAACCCAGGGGACGGCCGGCGCTGGGGTCCGCAAGCAGCCCGCCTCTTAGAGATGCGGAGCGTGCAGCCTCCTGGACAAGGATGGGGGTCTGCATGTGTGTGCGTGAGAGGTGCGGGGAGGGTATGAGGGTGAAAGTGTGCACAGGTGTGTGCCCAGGAATAGGTAAGTGGGCAAGGGTAAGGGGGTGGGGTATCTGAGAGTGTGCATGAGTGTGTGGGGGTGAAAGCACATGTGTGTGTGAGTGTGCATCAGCGTGAGAGTCTGTGAGCATGAGGTGTGAGTGTGTACGAGGGTGTGTGTCTTCTGCATCTTCAGGGATTGGCTACAGGGGAGCTGGACCCTGGGTGGCCCGTGCAGGGAAAGAGGGGGCGTGCGCTGCGTCTGCTGCGGTCTGCCCTGTCTCCATCCCCTTCCTGCGGTTGCTGGTGGCCTTCTCCGGGGGTGCAGGGACTGGCCGGAGAAGCCGAGGTCTCTCCCACTGGCTTTGCAGCCCAGTCTCCCTGCTGCCCAGCTCTCATTCCGGGCTCTGGTCCCTCCCTGCTGAGTGCAGGATCCCTCGGGGGAGGGACCATGAGCTCCGGCTCTCTGGCCGCTAGCAGCTCCTGCATCTCTTAAGCGTTCTTGCTCTCCGAGGTGCGGGGAGGTGGTATTAGCGTGTGTGCACAGCCCCGGCCTGCATGGTGACACCCGCTCCTGTGGGCCAGGCGCGGGTGAGGATGGTCGTCGCCTACCTCTTCGCTCAGCTGAGCCTCTGGTCTCGCGGCGCCTCCGGCGGGCTTCTCGTCCTTGGATCCGCCAACGTGGACGAGAGGTGTGTGCGGCTCCCGGCTGGAGGAGACCCCGCTCCACCCGAGGCCACCCCTGGGGTCCGTGCCCCGCTCACTCCGCCGCAGCTCTGGGGGCACCTTTGGGAGCAGTCGAGGGGCGGGAGAGGCGCAGGGGTCAGATGGAAACGGCCGTCACTCCTGCCTGGGAATGCTGACCCTTGCCCACAGACCGGACCCTGTTTGTACCATCAGCCTTCTGTTTAATGGGAGAGGGAGTGACCTTACACCCACCTCGGGGTTGGTTGAAGGAGCCCCACTTGTGGCTGGCACTGGTCATCCCCCAAACTGACCCTCTGGCTTGCTGGATACCCCTCCTCGGCCGTCCACAGCGCCTGCCCCTTCCCCAGTCTGCCCCAGCACATCAGACTTCTTGAGACCCTCGAGTCGGCCAAGCTCTGGCTCCAGGGCCCCGGAAGAAGGCACGTCCTAGTGCCCAGGGGCCAGATGGCCAGGCCCCCCAGGTTCTCGGAGTCTGCAGTTCCCGGGTCTGCTGCCTCAAAACCGCCTGTCCTTTCTCCGACTGCAGCCTCCTCGGCTACCTAACCAAGTACGACTGCTCCAGCGCCGACATCAACCCCATCGGCGGGATCAGCAAGACGGACCTGAGAGCCTTCGTCCAGCTCTGCATGGAACGCTTCCAGCTTCCCGCCCTGCAGAGGTGTGTGTGCTCCCGCGAGGCCACAGCTGTGCCTGTGGGCCGCTGGGTATGCGTCTTCTCAGCACAGCCCTGGCCGCCCTGTCCCCCTCAGCCACCTTCCGTACCGCCCATCACCTGATGGAAGCGGTCAGGCCTCCAAGGGCACTCGGGCCCCAGGACCAGGTACCCACTTCCTTCCCATTGCTGCCACCCTGGCTGTGGCCAGATTCGGCAGCCACTGCCTCCCTCTGCCCCCCGAGAGGCTGGAAAGTTGGCGCTTCCCATCTCTGCACTTGCGTGGTGTCTGTTGCGGTATTACCCAGGTGTTGTGACCAACCTCTGTGTGCCCTGACCGCAGCATCCTGGCAGCACCGGCCACAGCTGAGCTGGAGCCCTTGGCCCACGGGCAGGTGTCCCAGACCGATGAGGTAACCGTGCTGGCTTTGTCACTGCACTTCCCCTGCCACCTCCCCACTCCAGGGCTCCTACGTGGCCTCCTATCTGCCCCCGAACAAGCATGCTCAATCACTGGGTCCCCGGCTGGGAGTCCAGAGCTCAGCATCATCCATTGCTGACCTCTGATGTTCGATTTGGGTCTCTCGAGGTTGGAGGTGGGGAGGAGGTGGGGCCGGGGGGCTTGGTTCCGTCTCCAGCAGAGGTTTCAGGCTGTCCCCCCAGCGTTGACCTGCTGTCACTCGTGAGACACATCTCTCTCGTCCCCAGGAAGACATGGGGATGACGTACGCCGAGCTGTCTGTCTATGGGAGGCTCCGGAAGGTCGCCAAGACAGGCCCCTACAGCATGTTCTGCAAACTCCTCAACATGTGGAAGGACACCTGCTCGCCCCGGCAGGTGAGGCGTGCCCGGCGCCCTCGGGGAGTCGGCAGGTGAGGTCACCTTGTGAGTGAGTCTGGCTCCGGAGCAGGTGGCCACTGTGTGACTTTAGGAGGAGAGCACTCGGTGAGGAACCACGGCCCCGTTCTCAGCCCTCCCGCAGCCCTGACTGAGCTTATCTGAGTGGGGCTGGACCCCGTCACAACAAGCAAGCTCCTTCCCTCTTTGCGGGGCAGAGGGTGAACTCCGAGGTCAGAATATGGCTTCTTTTTCCCTAGTAGTCGGGCTCTTTAGGGCTGAAGCCCACAGACAGGGCGGTCCCTGCAGAGCCACCTGGAAGCCTCATGAAATAGGAGTACATCTTCCTAGGACCCCTGCCCAGGTCTCCTCATGCAGTTTCCAGGATACTGGAGTCAGGAACCCGCATCCTTACAGCTCACTCAGCTGCTCTAGCCTGAGCAGCAGCATTGGTCCACTCCTGCCTTTGAGGAGGTCCCAAGGCAGCACTCTGGGGGTGCTGGGGGGAGGATGTTAACTGGCTGGGGCGATGCTGCTGAGAACGCTGGCCTGAGGGCTTCCCGGCTTTGCTAACACCAGGCCCCGTGCGCCCCTCGCCTCCCAGGTCGCCGACAAAGTGAAGCGGTTTTTCTCCAAGTATTCCCTGAACAGACACAAAATGACCACGCTGACGCCCGCGTACCACGCCGAGAGCTACAGCCCGGACGACAACAGGTTCGACCTGCGACCGTTTCTGTACAACACCCGCTGGCCCTGGCAGTTCCGCTGCATCGAAAACCAGGTGAACCGGGGGAAATGGTTTCTCTCCCTGTTAGACATCTGTCGAGGGAATACCAGCCCATCTCCTCCACCTGCTCGTCTCCACAGAGGACTGAAAAGCTTTTTAATGTTCAGTCGCTCAGTCGTGTCCGAATCTTTGTCACCCCATGGACTGCAGCACGCCAGGCTTCCCTGTCCATGGTTAATGTACACGGTGGCATTTTTTTTTTATTGTCCTGCTTTCTCCCAAGTGTCCAGTATGTTTCAGGTCCATCAGAGCTTGGCATGTGCTGTTCGGGGGTGTACTGAGGATGCTAAAATTAGCAGCTCCATCATACAGTCAGTGTGAGACAAACCACTGTGATTTCTAGACTACTCGGGGGTCCAACTGGCTTCGCATTGTCTGAACCATCTGTTTTTCCTTATTGATTAATAGTGGAATAAAGGAAGGAGAAACAAAATCAATTTAATAGGGCAAGTGTAGATCCTTCCCTGCTCTGTGATGGAGGCAAGTTCGAGGCAGCCCCTCTGCAGTGAAGGTGATGAGAGGAGAAGGATGGCTGATGAGTTGAACACGGGATCCGTGAAACTGATAAATAGTGATAATGCTCCTGAGTCCAAGCTCGTCCTGCTTGATGCATGACAGTAAATCGAGAGATGAGTTGCTGAAACAAGGAATAGTGACTTTATTGGGAAAGCCGGTAGACGGAGAAGATGGGGGACTCACGTCCCAATGAACCATCTTGCCTGAGTCAGAATCCAGGCTCCTTTTGTACTAAGAGGGGGAGGAGCGGAGTCAAACACCTGCTGGCTCACTGCCTCCTCCCTTGCAGTCACTCACAGGTGGGTCTGGTCAGAGTGTTTCCCGTGAGCTAAACAAAGGTATTTTAGCTTGGTGCTGCTTACCTGGGAGGCAGGGTTCCCAGAGAAGAGCCTTACGTATAACAGGGCAGTGGTCCCCAACCTTTTTAGCACCAGGAACCGGCTTCATGGAAGCCAGCTTTTCCAGGGATGGGGCGCGGGGGAGATGGTTCAGGCGTAACGTGACTGATGGGGGGCAGATGAAGCTTCGCTCGCTTACCCACCCGCCGCTCAGCTCCTGTGCAGCCTGGTTCCCAACAGGCGGTGGACTGGCGCTGGTCTATAGTCCGGCGGTTGGGGACCCCTGCTTTAGTGATGAGTTGTAATAAATCCCAAAGCTTCTTTCCTTTTACAATAAGAGCCGCATTGAGCTGGAGGACCGCGGGGTGGGGCAGAGGGGAGCATGCATGAGGAGGTGCAGACTGAGATGGGAGCCGAGCAGCCCTATGTGGCTGCAACCCTCCTCCGGGACGTCAGGCCATGTCCAGAGACGGTTATCCCGCCCGGGGTGAGGTCTGTACCCCCACGTCTAGTAGACAGAGTCCAGAGATGCTGCTGAGCACCCCGCAGTGCCATGGACACCCCCTCCCCACAAAGAACTAGTGAGGGGCAAGGCTTGGCTCCCACCAAGACGCACTCAGGCGTGGGGTTCAGAGGCAGCAGCTGGAAGATCCGCACATGTAGGAAAACACAGCTTGGTGAAGATGGGCTTGCTGTGACCTTCTAGCCCAGCAGTGACCCCTGCCCGCCCCGACCCCCGGCCAGCACACGTCCTTCCAGAGTCAGGATCCCTCCCAGGTCTCCTTGCCCTGCAGATGCAGTGTGCAGACCTGCTTTCTCAGTCCCGTGACTGTGACCCTCTTTGGGGGTGGATCGGTGTGTTTCAGCAGCGTGGCTGTCCGGGCCCTCATGATGACATCGCGTCTTCTCCCCTAGGTCCTCCAGCTGGAGGGGAGACAGCAGCAGGAGCTAGATGGCGTGGACTGAGGTCGGGCCCTGTGTGGTGGGCTCCCTGCCTGCCGGTGACCAAGAGCGGGACTGGAGCCCCGTCTGACGTATTTCAAGGAGAGGGATCCATACCGTCTAGTTCTATTTTTAAAAAGGCTGAAAGAAAGAGGATGCAATTTTATTTTTAGTTTTAAATTAATTTTTCTAAAATTTAATTAATGAATTTTTAATTGAAATACATATTGTTGATTTACAGTGTTGTGTTAATTATTGCAGGACAGCAAAATGATTCAGTTTTATGTATATATGCATACTTTCATCTTTTTTAAAATATTCTTTTCTATTAGAGGAGATCGTAGGATATCAAACACAGTTCTCTGTGCTGTGCTGTAGGACCTTGTTGTCTGTCTGTTCTGAGAACACGTGTAAACGTTCCCATCTGCCGACCCCAGCCTCCCGCTCTGCCCTCCCCCGAGCCCCCCGGGCTGGCAGCCACAGGTCTGTTCTCTGTGTCTGTTCTGTTTTCGCAGAGAGGTTCGTTCGTGTCGTAGTTCAGATCCCACGTCTAAGTGACATCATGTGATGTTTGTCTTTCTCTGTCTGACGTCACTTAGGTCCACCCGCGCTGCTGCCCGTGGCATCATTTCCATCTTTTCTGTGTCCGAGTAGTATTCCATTGTGTGTGTACACCGCATATTCTTTATCCATTCATCTGTCGGTGGACATCTAAGTTGCTTCCATGTCCTGGCTGTTGTGAATAGTGCTGCAAGGAACATTGGGGTACGTGTGTCTTTTTGAGTTTGAGTTTCCCCCAGATGAGGAGGCAGCAGAGGGTGAGACGGTTGGATGGCGTCACTGACTTAACGGACTTGAGTTTGAGGAAGCTCTGGGAGAAGTGAAGGACAGGGAAGCCTGGTGTGCTGCAGTTCATGGGATCGCAGAGGGTTGGACACGACTTTGCGACTGAACAACAACCCACGAGTGGGATGGCTGGATCACACGGCAGCTCTCTTTTTAGTTGTTTTTTTTTTCTTTTAAGGAACCCCCATATTGTCCTCCAGAGTGGCTGTACCAATTTCCATTCCCACCAACAGTGGAGGAGGGTTGCCTTCTCTGCACCCCACAGAGGATGTGGTTTTTAAACCCTTCTCTTGAAGCCAGCACTTCCCCGAGCCCCTCTGGCCCTTGTGTGGCATCTCCTGAGTCTCACCTGAGCTGCAGGAGAATTTCAGGCAAGAACGGAGGCGGTGCTGGGGATGGAGGTTGGTTCTAGAGTGACTGTCACCACCGGTCATGCGCCCTTGCAGTCTGCAGTAGTTTTTGCAAAGCAGCCCTTTCTTCTTTTCTTCTTCTGTCTTGCTTATGGTTCTTCTCACTATGAACCAGCCCATTTCCCTTATTTGTGTTTCCTGCGTGCATGGTCAGTTGCACAGAAGTGTCTGACTCTTTGCGACGCTATGGACTGTAGCCCGCCAGCCTCCTCTGTCCTTGGGGATTCTCTGGGCAAGAATCCTGGAGTGGGTTGCCATGCCCTCCCCCAGGAGATCTTCCCGACCCTGCATCTTTTATGTCTCCTGCATTGGCAGGGGGTTTCTTTACCACTCATCCTGGTTGTTGTGATTGTCATCCTAAGGATCTCAACCTGCAGGGATGTAGGTCCTCCTGTAGCTTGTCCCATGCCACCAGGGAAGGCTTCACGCGTACCCGGGGCCAGGCTGTGCGGGCGTCATCCCTGACCCTGCCATGTGCTGCCCTAGGGAGAGACCTCTGGGGAGGCTGCTGTCCACTGTCCTTGCCAGGCTCCTCCGTCCGTCTTGCTCTCACCATCCTGGGGTGAGGCTGGTGTAGGTGGGGTCAGCGAGCTGGGTTCTGGTTGCTGACCTGTGGAAGGTCCAGCTTAGGTATGGGCAGTACAGCTCAGTCCCCGTTCTGCTGGAACCCCAGGAATTCCTGAGAATCCCCAGGAATATTTGCAAACTGCATCAGCATGGAGTTTCCGCATATGAGTCACCAAAAGACCTACCCAAGAAAAGAACCCGGTGAACAAAGAAAGAACCTCTTGGTTGACGCGCCGAGTCCAGAGGGAGTGACAGCCTCGGGTCTGGCTGGACCCAGGGTTTCGGCCACTGGACCTTGTTTCTCTCCTCCCTGGCTTGGCTCTCACCATGGGCCTCCTCCACTCTCCGCATCGCAGCGCTGTGACTCTGGCTGTACAAGCTCCCAGGCTCGAGTCCGGCAGGAGAGGAGCGCGCGCCTCGAGGGCTTCTTCAGCAGAAGCCCTGCATGAGCTCAGTTGGGTCATATGCCCATTTCTGAACTATTTAGCTGCCACCCCAGGTCCTCCAAAGAGGACCAGGAGGTGCTCCAGAATTAGGGAAGATAGATGGCGAGCTCTGTGGCCAGGAGCAGCCACCGAGCACGCACTCAGGCCCGGCCTGGGCCCCGGCTGTGGACGATGGCTCCCTGGACCCAAGTCCACGTTTCTTGCTGATGCTCCTGCAGACCCTGGGCCACACAGCACGTGCACAGGCCTTTCCTCACCTCCCCACGGTGACGGCAACACCCAGGGCCATGTTAAGAAGCCTCCACCGCAGGTTCGGGCCGAGGGGAGGAGACAGGGCACCCTGTCCTCTTTCCTCGAAGGCCGCCACCATCTGCGTGTCTCCCACCCCGGGATCCAGAGCCCCTCCTGCAGGCGCGGGGGCAGAATGACCACTCCTCCGTCACCCCACCAAGGGCCACAGTTTGTGATGTAAAGTCACCCGACATAAAGACAGCGTATTATACAACGATAAGAAGCTATGTCCTGCCCACCATCTCCAAGCCCTGTTCTAGAAGAGTCTTGGCCTTGTGGAGACAAATCCCAGGGCTGCAGGCTGAATGTTCGCACCCCCCAAAACCCACGTGTGGAAACCCTGTCCCTCCCACGTGTGGAAACCCTGTCCCTGGATGTGATGTCGGAGGAGAGGCCTCTGGGAGGGGATGTGGGCCTGCACGTGGAGCCCCGTGAAGGAGATCGGGGTCCTTATCGAGGCCCCAGAGAGCCCCCGGCTCCAGGGAGACGTCACCAGCCCGACCCAGAGGAGGGCCCTCCTGGCACCCCGCTGGACCTGGTCTGGACACCCAGCCTCCGGAGCTCTGAGCCCTGCAGCTCTGTTCACGAGTTGCCAAGTCTGCGATACTCGTTACAGCGGCGCACGTGCACCAAGACCCCGTGAAGGTGTTTTTCCTAAAACAAAGCAACAGTTCACCTTCACCTTCAGGAGACTCTAGAAAGAAAACAAAACTGGCAAAAGGTAGGTGATGTGGCCCAGGCATGCTGATGAGTACTCTCCTAATTCAAGGATGGTTTTGGGGACATGGCCGACCAGTGGGTGGGTCCAATGTGGGCGGTCCTCCCTGACCATCTGGGTCTCATCCCAGTCTAGGGCCTTCACTGGTGGTGATGCAGATAAACACAGGACAATGTGACCACGGGGTTCAGCAGTGGAGGGGTGACAGCTCACACCATGCAGTCAGCTTCTGGGATGGCTGCCACCCAGGGTGACGGGCAGGCCCCCCAGTGAGGTGTCAACATCGCCCCGTTGTTCCCGGGAGGACAGGCACCTTGCTGACTCCCCAGGGAGGAGACATCCTGCTGTCTGCCACCCTGGCGCCCGCAGCCCTGCACGCCCCCCGGAGGCCACGGCTCCCACGCCGTGTGCCCTGGGCGCAGGGTGGGGGCCTCCGCGCTCTGCCCCAGGCAGGAAGGTGGAGGGTGGTCAGCCCGAGGGTGGAGGTCAGCGTCAGGGTCCCACACCTTGTCCTGCAGGGGCCGCTTGCAGTCAAAGGCCCCAGGACCCTGGCTGCTGGTCGTCAATGCACAGGGCGTGTCCCCATCTAGAAGGTGGTGTCCCCCTGCTCTGGGGCAGCGTCCCCCCATTACAAGGTAAGGTCCCCCAGTTATAGGAAGTGTCCCCCAGCTCTGGGGCAGCGTTCCCCCACTATAAGATAATGTCCCCCAATTATAGGAAGTGTCCCCCAGCTCTGGGGCAGCGTTCCCCCACTATAAGATAATGTCCCCCAATTATAGGAAGTGTCCCCCAGCTCTGGGGCAGTGTTCCCCAGTTATAAGAGTCGCCAGAGCTTGACTAATGAGAAGCAATGGGTTCCCGTCTGCAGCACCAGCCTGTCACACGGGGTCCTTTTTTCTGAGCCCCACAGACTAGCCCCATGCCCCATCTCCTGTCAAGCCTCATGTCAAACCCAGAGCTAACTCGGGAGACTCCAGGGATGATCCTGAAAACTAAGACCACCAGCACCTTCTTCTCACCAGGGGTGGTCCTACAAGCTTGGGCTGAAGCACTTCCCTCAAACCACCAGAGCAGTCTGGGGACCACATGGACAGCCGAGTGTCACTGGAGCATGAGTTACTGACGGAGCCAAACCAGCACCAACTGGACATTGTCCCCCAGATAGCACTGGTCACAAAGCTTTATTTTGCTGGATTTCTAAAGACAGAGGAGAGGACTTTGAGAGAGATCACACATTCCAGAAAGTAGATCCACTTAAATTCAAGGAAGAAGACAACAAAAGCAGTGTATTCAGACCCCAGAAGATGCCAGAAAAGTGGGCAGAGGACAAAGGCACATCATCTCCAAGGCCCAGGCTTTACCCGAGAGGAGTTTTGCATCCCAACCTGGAAGCAAGCAGAACTTTCACAATAAGTCAGATGTTAAAGCCGACCTTCTGAGGTTGGTCAGTGTGACTTCATGAACTTTCTGAAGGATAATTTGACAGGTTTTGAAAGGCTCAATGGGATTCCCCAGAGGCTCAGAGGTAAAGAATCCATCTGCCAATGCAGGAGTCACAAGAGACCTGAGTTCAATCCCTGGGTGGGGAAGATCCCCTGGAGAAAGGAATGGCAACCCACTCCAGTATTCTTGCCTGGAGAATCCCATGCACAGAGGAGCCTGGCAGGCGGCAGTCCATGGGGTCACAAAGAGTTGGACATGATTGAGTGACTGAGCACAAGCAAAAGGCTGAAATGTGTGCATTGGTTTCTTAACGCACATACACACCTACTTCTGGTGATCTGCTCTCGGTTTTTACACAGAAAGGAGGCTGGGAAGGGAGCTCTTTGGGGGTGCTGACTTGAGCACCTCTATCCTGCTGGTGGTGAGGCATAGTGACTGCCACGAGACTGTAGGGACCGTGCCCCCAGGGCCACTGATCCACTGGGAGCCCCCCCCCCCATCAGAGGCCCACGCTCTCCGTTTTGCCCGCTGGAATCACTTTCTGGTCCTCGGCATCCTCTGTCTCCTCACCCAGGGCTCTCTGAAGGACTGCCTTGAGGCTCTGTGTGGGCCGCTCCCTCTGAAGGCCCCCGATGAAGAAGTAAACGGCAGGGTTGGCCGTGCTGTTGACGCAGCACAAGAGGACACAGATGTCATTGAAGATGTGATTTTTTTTCTCGGTTGTGTAGAACCGGATGATGCTGAGGGGCAGGCCGAAGAGGAAGCCCAGGAACGAGAGCAGGAGGACCAGGTAGAACCTTCTGGGCTGATGCTTCTGGGAGCTGCCCTGGACTCGGTGGAGCAACAGCAGACTGGATATGCCCAGGATGGCGAACTGAAGGAAGACCGACACAGCGGTGGCAGTTTTAAATCCATCACAGAACTTTTTCTCTTTGGTGAATAACTGACCACAGGCATAACCTCTCAGCGTGTTTAACAAAAAGGTCAGAATCCAAAGGAGGGCGCTCACGATGGCCGACAGGTGCTTGGGGCAATGACACCGATACCAGATGGGGAAGAGGACAGACAGACAGCGCTGGAAGCTGATGGCGGTCATGATGCTCAGGCCAGCGAGGTAGAAGAACCACCTCAGGACCATAAAGAGGGCATGAAGACCAAAGCAGCGGTGGAGGAACGGCTTCAGGATCTGGCGGACAGAGAACAGAATCTGGAAGCTGAGATTCATGAAGTCTGCGATGGCCAGGTTGAGGCTGTAGATGAGGAAGGAGGTCTTCTTGTGAGACAGACGGACAAACCAGATCACAATTCCATTTCCCGCCAGTCCACAAAGGGACACAACCACGGTGAGGGACCGGAGGGTCACATGCCCAACATCGAGGGATCCTTCAGCCAGCCCCACAGCGTCAGTGCTGGAGTGATTCATCTCGCAGTAATCGTCCATGGTGAGGCGATCCGGGCTCGGCAGGACTGTTGGGTTCCCCTGCCCTGTGACTCCTGGCACTCCTGGGGAGTCAGAGACGGAGGTGTGGACCCTCAGGCAAGTGAGGGGGGCTCTCGCTCCTCTCCCTCTTCCCCCACCCCTTCCCTCCGTGCCTCCCACCTTCCCTCCACTGTCTCTCTCTCCGCCGCCTCCTCGACTCCAGCCCCCACCAGGCCCGCACACAAATGCCCTGAGTGCGGGTCCTTCCTGTGGTCGTTGGCTCTCTCTAGAGGATGAGATGGGAGCTCAGCTTTGTCCTCATGAGCTGGGCCTCGGGCATCAATGCAGTCACTCATTCATCTCTACACTCAACAAACTGATCTGCTGGGTGTCCCCTCCAGCTTAGGGTCTGAGCAGAAAGCAGGGTGGGGGGTAGTTGGGGGGATCTGGTCTCTGACCCCGAGAAACCCAAGGGATCAACCATTTACAGGACGGTGTGACTAGAGCTCTAGATCTCAGAGGGGAGTTGACCCTTGAAGACATGGTAGATGTTACCAAGAAAGATGATACCCAATGCAAAGAAACCACTTCAGGAAGAACCAAGAAAGATGATACCCAATGCAAAGAAACCACTTCAGGAAGAACCAAGAAAGATGATACCCAGTGCAAAGAAACACTTCAGGAAGAACCAAGAAAGATGATACCCAGTGCAAAGAAACCACTTCAGGAAGAACCAAGAAAGATGATACCCAATGCAAAGAAACCACCTGAGAAAGAGCCAGGGGCTTGAGGGAGCATGTCCACTCCAAGGGTAGACCTCTTAGTATAGTTAGTCCATGAAGAAGAGTTTGGGGTCCAGGGAGAGAATGATGGATGATGCAAAGGTGGGTGGAGGCATCTGGTCTACCTCCTTACTTAGGTCCAGGTGGCAAGTCCACTGTGTTCAGTAGCAGCTCAGATGCACTGGGGTCTATAGGCAGACCTGTGCCTGAGTCCCTAGGGGATCTCGTCAACTCCAGCTGTTTCAATACCATCCTGATTCTAATGACTCAGAGAAGAGGGTCAGCCACCCAAAGGTGTCCCAATCCCCAGGGCCCATGAGGACTTGGATTTGGAGAGAGGAGATAAAAGTTATACATGGAATTAAGGCTACCAACTGGCTGACTGTAAAATAGGCATATTACCCTAAGCCAACCAGGCGGGCCCTTCAGGTAACCACAGGGTCCTTATAAGAAGGAGGTGGTTCATCGCAGCACTGTTTATAATAGCCAGGACATGGAAGCAACCTAGATGCCCATCAGCAGATGAATGGATGAGGAAGCTGTGGTACATATACACCATGGAATATTACTCAGCCATTAAAAAGAATTCATTTGAATCAGTTCTAATGAGATGGATGAAACTGGAGCCCATTATACAGAGCAAAATAAGCCAGAAAGATAAAGACCATTACAGTATACTAACACATATATATGGAATTTAGAAAGATGGTAACGATAACCCTATATGCAAAACAGAAAAAGAGACTCCGATGTATAGAACAGACTTGTGGACTCTGTGGGAGAAGGCGAGGGTGGGATGTTTCAAGAGAACAGCATCGAAACATGTATATTATCTAGGGTGAAACAGATCACCAGCCCAGGTTGGATGCATGAGACAAGTGCTCAGGCCTGGTGCACTGGGAAGACCCAGAGGGATCGGGTGGAGAGGGAGGTGGGAGGGGGGACCGGGATGGGGAATACATGTAAATCCATGGCTGATTCATGTCAATGTATGACAAAAACCACTGCAATGATGTAAAGTAATTAGCCTCCAACTAATAAAAATAAATGGAAAAAAAAAAAGAAGGAGGTGGGGCAGGAGAGTCAAAGAGGGGCTGTGATGCGGGAAACAGAGGTGGGGTGATGTGATGGTTGGCTTTGAAGAGCAGGGGAAGGGCCACCAGTCAAAGACGCAGGCGCCTCCAGAAGACGAAAAGGGAACGGCTTCTCCCCTGGGGCCTCTAGAAGGGAGGTAGCCCTGTTCACACCTTGGTTTTAGCCCAGTGAGACCTGTTTTGGATCTTGGACCTCCGTAACTGTAAGGTTATGAATCTGGTTATTTGCCGCCAGCTGTTAGGAAACTCCTGCACGAGGTCTCCCATCGCGTGGTCGGGCTCAGGTTCTGAGAGGTCCTCCCTACCCTTCAGGTTACATGCTTCTTCCCTTCCCCCTCCCTTATTTCCAACTTCCCCTTATTTTGTACTCGGACTAATTCATCTCCTCTTCTTTTCTCATCCCCTGGACACTGATGTTTTCCAGGTCGTATTTCTCAGCTTTCTGTCCTGCTCTATTTAAGCCATGCCCTTGAATCTGATCTCATCCACTCACATGGTCTCTTGTTCGTCACTCAATTCCCAAACACACATCATCAGCTTCCATCTCTCTTCAGCCCTAGACTTGATTATCCAATTGCCGACTGATAAGGCCATGTTTAACACCATCCCCCAAATGTCTGCTCTTCAATGCATGTTCTTATTGCTACAAATTACATCGCCACACAGGACCCAGTCCGCTAGATCTGAAATGTGGACTCACTGGAGGGCGCCAGGGGGACTTTGGGATCAGATGGTTTGGGTTGGGTTCCTGCCCTTCCCGCTAGTTAGCTAGTGCATTTGCTTCCGTGGTGTCTCAGACGGTAAAGTCTGCCCTCAATGCAGGAGACCCGAGTTCAATCTCTGGGTTGGGAAGATCCCCTGGAGAAGGAAATGGTAACCCACTCCAGTATTCTTGCCTGGAAAATTCCATGGACGGAGGAGCCTGGAGGGCTACAGTCCATGGGGTCGCAAAGAGTTGGACACGACTGAGCGATTAACACTTGTATGATGTACTCAAAATTTGTACTATATGTAGTAGATGCAAGCTGCTGCATATAAAACAAACAACAAGGACCTACCGTATATCACGGGCAACTGTATTCAATATCTTGTAATAACCTATAATGGAAAAGAAACTGAGAAAGAATATATATGCATACATATAACCACGTTGCTTTGCTGTACACCAGAAATTAAAACAACACTGTAAATCAATGATACTTTAATTTAAAAAATTTTTCAAAGTTTTAAAGCAGATTTTGAAGAAGGAAGTAAGTAGGAGATAATTCATTTTTACTTATGTTGATTTGGGGTTGTTTGTGGAACACCCGCGTGAAGACGTCCAGATAGCCAAGATTTTGGAAGGGAGCTGTGGTCTGGAGATGTAGATTTAACCAACATCATAAGTGAGAGCTGAAGCTGCTAAAGAGGATGACATCATAGGGAGGAAAGGGGCGGGGCTGGGGAAAAGTGCCCTCCGCTGGGAAGATGAAGAAGGACCGTCAGGAGCACGGAGACAAGGAGAGTGCGGAGGAAGACACAGTAGGGAGTGAGCGCTGGAGCAGGGCTCAGAAGCAGACGGGGGCCAGCAGAACAGTAGCAGTTCCTTGGAAGTTTGAACTAGTGAAATACATCAGTAGCACGTAGGATTTACCGTATGTTAGGTGGTTTTAGACTGTAGATCCCTAATGCACTAGTAACAATATTCTAATGACACAAAGGATTGATCACTGGGAGATCAGTGTTATCAAGAATAACTTGTACTTCGCTCAGTAAAATCTCCTGGGGCCCTGTGTTTGGAAAGAACCTGCTCCCCTGGGCTGGGCAGTGGCTTCAATGGTTGAAGGCTGGTCAGGACGAGGCCATCTTTGCTGTGGTAGGCTCATCTGTGGTCCTAGACTGCCTCTTTCAGGAGCCCTGTGACTGCTGACTTCATTTGGTTTAAGGCACTTGTTTCAGACTTCTATGGTTTAAGGCACTTGTCTCTCTGTGCTGTGTAGTCCTCATGTAAAAATGGCATGAGTCACTCCATAAAGTGATTGGATGAGAATGCTGGGGTCCAGTAAGGTGGGCAGGGAAGAGAGAAGACAGGAGGTAACTAAAATTGAGGGGAAACCCCAATGGAGAAATGTCCAGAAGGGCAGGACCTAGGCATCAGTGGTCTGGTCCCTATTGAAACATCAGGCATCAGGCGGAAGCCCAGGGGGCAGGGAGAAGAGGCTGGATGAATGACAAAGCAATGGCAGGTCAGGGAAGACACAGGGAAGTGGTGGGCAAGAGGAAGCCGAGAAGCCACAGATGCTCTGGGCTGCAAAGTGGACACAAGCTTACCACCTGGGAGTAGGTGGGCCACTTTCTCTTACCTTAGGTGCTGGTTCAGCCCAGGATCCTGTCTGTGAGAGCAGGAAGGACCTTCTCAAGGAGTCTGATCTTGGAGAAGTCCACTCTCTTCCTGGACCACTGAGCCACTCTCAGGAGCTTCTTAGGAGAGTGGGGCTCTGAGTGTTATCAAGCTGGCGCAAGGTGGCTTGTTTTTTCCTGTGTGGGGTCACTGGCCAATCAGAGTCCAGGCGTCATCTCAGGAGCATATCTCAAGATCACGTTTCCGCCTGTGTTTCTTCATCCTCACGTTTGGCTTCTGCCTCGATATTCTCAGAATCGCTTTCTCTACCTGTGACTTTTTCTCTGAACCAAACCTTTACTGCACATTTGCAGTGCGCTGGAACAAGCCTCACCCTTGGTGTCCATCATCTCGGTGATGTTCGAGACTTTGAACTACGCGTGATACTTTGGCGGCTTCTCCTTATGTGAGAGTCATGCCTGGGAGAATGTCCCTCCAGGGCCATACTGTGTGCGATCTTCCTCCTCAACTCACATCCTGACCTTCCCAGGTACTCTGTCCCCTCCTCAACTCACATCCTGACCTTCCCAGGTACTCTGTCCTTTCATCTCTTTCCAAGTCTCAGCCTCTGATGTCCCCACAACCACACAGATGTCCTGGACACTGAGCACCCTCTGCTTCTAGATCAGCACATCCAGGGGCAACCTGGGGTTGGGTGGGAACAACTGAAGACGTGAGCCACGTTCTTTTCAGAAATCATGTCTAGTTGTGGATGACATGACCTCCTGCTCCTGGGGAGAGACAGCAGGAGGATGAAGATGGAAAGAGAGGCTAGCTCTGGCCAAGCCCCCTGGGAAGATCAGAAATAAATGATGAAAGTCTCAAGTCATTCCCTCTGGCGTGGAATCACCATGGTCCAGCCCAGGCTCCTAAGGTTCCCAGGGATGAGCAGAACCAGAAATCATTTATCACACCTTCCAAAGTATTAGGGAAGACGGTGATGATGGGAAAGATTGAAGACAAAAGAAGGGGGTGGCAGAAGATGAGATGGTTAGATAGCATCACCAATTCAGTAGCCATGAATTTGAGCAAACTCTGGGAGATAGTGGAAGACAGAGGAACCTGGTGCGCTGCAGTCCATGGCTCGCAAAGAGTGAGACATGACTTAGTGACTGAAAAACACCTTCCAAATTCTCCCCAGGAGGATTTTTCCCCACCATGTTTAGTTTTACTTTCAATTGCATGAGATATGTTTCCAGTGATGAGGAGCTAGTGTGGTCTTTCCAAGACTGTGCCTCCTAGAATTGATAATTAGACATACTCGACAAGAAAAAGAAGTGACGGAAAGTGTCCTGCTGGTCATAAGAGAGGACACTGACCATGTCTGCCCAGAAGACAGGTGCATGTCCGAGGCTTGGCATCTTTGTGTCAGCCAGCTCAAGCCTCTCCCACGACTGGATACAGTAAATGAAAAGGGCACCATGTCCCTGCCTTCCCATGTCTCTAGGAACTTCTCAATGGTGGTTCACAAATATTTTGATCTCAAGACCCCAAAGAGCTTTGGTGTATGTCATTTATACCTGTTGATATCTACCATCTTAAAATAAAGCTGAAAAATTAAAATGTATAAAGTCATTTTAAAATAAAACAATAAACCCATGTCATGTTACCATGGTAACTTCCTGACACAGGGATGGAACCTGGGTTTCCTACATTACAGGCAGATTCTTTACTGTCTCAGTCACCCGGTATATTTTTAATGAAAAGTAAATACAGATTTTTTTTAAAATAAAAAATCTCAGTGAGAAGAGTGGCGTTGTTTTACGTGTTATGCACATCTTTTCAGTGTCTGGCTCCTGGGAAGACAGTTGGAGGACCCGTTTCTGCATTTGATCTGTTGCAAAATGTTACTTTGGTTGATGTGTATGAAGACGGCCTGACCTCACAGACAGATGTTGAAGGAAAAGGGAAGAGGAGTTGGATGGCCTTTCCAGGACCCTTCTGTGAAATTTGACATGTGCATGGATGCCGCTTCAGGCATGTCTGACTCTTCACGACCCTGTGGACCGTAGCCCTCCAGGCTCCTCTGTCCATGGGATTCTCCTGGCAAGAATACTGGAGTTGCTTGCCATACCTCCTCCAGGGGATCTTCCTGACCCAGGGATTGAACCTGCATCTCCTGAGTCTCCTGCATTGAAGGCAGATTCTTTACCACTGAGCCACCAAGAAAGCCCATGCTTCCTTGAAGTTATGCCAAAACAACAAGTGGTAGTTTCTTCAAGGTTAGTTCTAATGTGGAATCCGAAACCGTATCAATAAACTTTCATACTCTGTTCTGTTAAAATCCATTGATTTTAAATCACACTTTGGTTAGATCTTTTACCATGTATGATTTTTACATATCATGTATAAGGCATCTGGAAAATGTTGGTTCATGGAGTTATGTAGATTTTTCAGATACTGACACGTTTCATTATATACTCTATTTATCTATCTATCTGTTGGTCTACCATGGGGCTTCACTTGTGGCTCAGTGGTAAAGAATCCACCTGCTAATGCAGGAGACACGGGTTTGATCCCTGGGTCAGGAAGATCCCCTGGAGAAGGAAATGGCACACCACTCTGGTATTCTTGCCTGGAGAATCCTATGGACAGAGGACCATGGAGGCTTGCAGTTCATGAGGTCACAAAGAGTCGCACACGACTTAGAGACTAAACAAAAACTTATCAGTCTATCACATTGTTAACATCACCGTGAATCTCATCAGAAAACTCTAATTGTTGGGGAACCATTTTACTCAATGTAGCAGATACAGG